CCTAATTGCTGTTTCCAACGGCATGTTCGGCCCTTTCGGACGGCATGGATTCGTCCGCCGTTCGGTCGCCTCTTCGCCGTCGCCGAGCTCTTGCGCCTCCGCCGGCACCTGGAGGCGTGAGGGTGCTTGGTTCCTTTGGTTTTCACCTATATTGCAAAGGGGAGAAGCAAGTAACTACTGTATCAAGTTATATTAGGTGGCTTTCCCATTCATCTTTTGGAATTTATGATATTTCAATATAGTTTATATCTGTTTGGTGTATAGAGAAACTATAAGAACATGACGTAAGCAGCCCGAACCTTCAGCGCGTTGGGGTTCACCGCCCAACACCGCCACCGAGCTCCAGACCATGCGAGCAGCGTCGGTGGGTGTCCATCCGTCGATACTGAAGCTAGAAGCAGATTGGTCCAACAGACCTCCAAAACCAAACCAAACTTACCAGCACCACCCTGTCAGCATGGTGTTTGGATGCAAAACACATGATCAAAGGGGTCTATAAACCACTCAAACTGGGTGCCGCTGGTGACTGGCTGTTCCTTTCTTTCGATCTGACAATCTCTAAGTGGAAATCTTGGGTTTCAATGTTTCTGGACACCGAAGAACACCGTGCCACTCCGAAAGGAGGGCAAACTGCTTTGTCTTCGGACCGTGGACGAACCAACCACTGATCAAGCTTTTTGTGATGCACGTCGTCGATCTGTCTACCGGTACATGTCGGGGGACATGTCGTCGATCCCTCGAAAACGATGGTTCTGCACCTCTGTGGAAAACCTATTTTGGTCAGAGAACTAGGTAACTAGGCTTTCCGATTCAATGCTTGCTGCAAGGGTGATGTATGCCTCTTGGATGTTGACCATTGCCCTTGACACCTGACGCTGTGGTGAGACGCTCGTGTGGAACATGAGTACGCCATGGTACCGCGAGGTTGCTCGGGCATTGCGTTGATCGATCAGCGGCCAGAGCGCACGGAAGACGAGAACGGATGCCAGGATCCGTAAGTTGGAACCAGGAGGAAGTTCTGGCGGCGTCTGTCAGGAGGTTTCAGACTGAGTTGCCAGGGAAGGCGGGAAGGTATACGAGGAACGTTCCCCCATACGTCGTCTCGTGTGGTTTTCGAACGGATGAAGCGCCACGGCTAACGGCTGTGTCTTCCGGAGCTGGAGCTGAAAGAGACCGTCTTGCGGAGAATCTGATTGGGTGATTGATGGTGATTGGGATCCCTTGGCCTTGCATCTGCTGGCCTTGAACCGTCATCTTGTCCAAGAGTGGCTTGAGTTTGCGGGCCTGCGCCATGTCATGTCAGCTGCGGGCCTGCTGCACACGCCCAGCGTAGCCTTTTCTACGTAGCTTTTCTGAAACTCCCCTATACATTCCTTAAACATTTGGTCTTTGAACTCTGCAGTGAACTGTGATATGAAACGTATGAAAAACGCCTTCCAAAACGAAAGACAACCCCCTCCTCTTCACGTCCGTGGCCGAACGACCTCCCTAAGTCGACCGAAGCACACGTCCCGTGTCGCGCGCTCGCGCCTGCCCTCGCCGCCGTAGCTCCACCACGCGTTCCAAGTCCTGGCGGCTTCTACTGCAAACACTCCATGTAGCGAAGCCTACATGTCTCCGTAGACTTGAGATCACCCACCCATATAAAGGCTATAGGAAGAGGTTTTTCAATCCATATCTGGGGAGGGTTTTATGAAGCAAGAGTCTACATATGTCTATACAATTTTATTAGCGCAACAATTGTGCCACTTCCAGGTGGCCGTTCAGAGCTGCAGGCTGCAGCTATCAACGTGGCTATGAAGCCAGAGTCAATATACATATGTCTACATATACATGATGCCTAACTACATTGACCCTGGGTCAACCACCGCCTATGTAGGTCAATATGGCAGTCCCATGGAGTGTCTGGGCCATGGGTGTGTATGTAAAATCCAGGAGACACTCTGGCCCTCGCCCCTCGCCCTCGGCGAGACAGGTCTATTTTCCAAACCTCCCGCCGGGAAGGTCTCCCTAATTGAATACACATCCAATTGAAGACCTGAAGGAAGGGTTTGTACAAAAAAAAACATGCCAGCACCACGGAAAGAGTGTCCATTAATAGCCCCTTAGAGGTCAACGGGTGTCCATCAACCACCCCTTGGGGGTCCAGGTGGAGGTTTTCTTGAGAATTTTTGGTGCTCTAGTCGTTCAAGCAGCTAAGCTTCATCGTCTCTTTGTGGCTGAACTCCACGAAAATAGGAGTTGAAAGGGTGAAAGTGTGGGAACAGTGTGGGAACTATCCAGTCGAATGACCATGTGACAGCTGAACCAACAGGATGCCTCTTTCATCCTCTTTCCAAATCCAGGAATCCAGGAGAACATGGATGGAAAATGAATGAAAATGATGAAACCCCCAAGAGGCCGGAACTCAACTGCCTGTTTTCACCGGACCTGACAACTTCCGATCCGTACTGCCAACCAATGGCCGCCCAAACGCGTCGACCGCTTCCAACGAGTTGACCTCTGTCCAGCACTGGTCCGTCCCGTCTTCCGCGGCCTTGACCGCTTGCCAATCCTCCTTCATCCATGCCTCCGTGACGAAGGAAGGCTTGGGAGGCGGAGGAAGATCCCAGTGACATCATGGAAAAAAAACACATTGAGAGGCCTGGGGTGCAGAAGCGTGGGAATGAACCAAAGAAGTTTTGAAGCACGGTTGAATACATGTGGTGTACATAGTTCATTTAGAATTCCTTTGCTTGAACCTAAATGAGCACTCTTAACAACCACATCCACGGATGTCTTTCGGGCGCAGTCCTCCAAACCCAACCGGCTTTCAACGAGCTCGGACCGGTACGGAGCTTCGCCGAACGAGCCACGAGGATCGAAGGCATCTCTCCCGGAACTGACCTCGAATGCAAGGAACTGGATCCGTGGTCACAAACACCATGGACATCCAAGGACCTATATATAGGCATGTCACAAACCAAGGTTTTACTGGGTGAGACTGGACGTACCCGTAGGGACGTAGCTTGTTGGTTCTGTTCAGTGCTCCACCTTGCAGGACCGAAGCGAACTTCGACGAACTTCCACGAGCTGGTCTCGAGCTCCTGACCGTATACCGTTCTGACCGTATTACCGAATTGAAACCAGCTGAGGCGGTCTGCCCCAGCAAGCACGCGGTGGTGCCTACCGCTTCCTGCGCATGACTTGCCCCAAACTGCGCATGACGGCCGCCTGGGTCTTTGCGACTTGCCCAGGGCAAAGCACGCCTCAAAACATGACCGGTGGTGGGCGGAGTGGGGATGTCTCGTATGAATGGAATAGTTTCATTTATCAATCTTGGTACGGCAAATGTATACCTGGATCTTCGATAACTGCCTTTTCAAGAAAACATGATGCCGTTATGGTGTCTCTTCCCAAAGATGGTGTTTTTTGTTGCGACCTGGCGGAAACCGGCAGAAACTAAAAAGACACGGCGTTCTTAGGCGTCCAAATGGCGCCTTCCCTGTCCATGGACTTTGAGCACGTGTTTGCAACCCCGAACATGATTTTTTGATTACAGCGTCTTTTCAGTCAAAGATGCCTCCGGCAAAGAATGTGCCGTTTGAAGATCAATCCAGAACACACGAATGGAACTTGGTTTCCATCCTTTTTGGATGACCGCTACTCTTGTCTATCAATCTCATCTGCCAAGTGAAAGATAGAATGTCGTTTGACCGTTTGACCAACAGGGTAAGCGAATGAACCACTGAAAGTGCCTATAGGGCCTATAGGACAAGCACACGGAAGTGGCATAGAATCTTGGGATTGAATGAACGGCGTCCCTTTGTTCCTAGTAGCGTCCTTGTTCGCTTTGCAAGAGGGAACAAAACACCCAACCACCAGCAGTTCCACCAGCAGTGCCATGGTTTACTTCGTCCCGGATGCGATCTTCGGCTCGGGCCCCGAAGCGTTCGACCTTCAACTGGCAACTACTTCCCTGCAGAGACCCACATGGAAACCCCCAAAACCACTGGGTTGGTAACGTTGGTATGAGAAAAATGGTCTTCCACCACCAGTCAATTCTCAGGTTCCACAGTTCCATCTGGTCCGCTTGGCGGGAGGGTAGTCTTCTGTCTTCTGCTTGCATCAATGGCTCATTCTAAGCACACCAGGGCGCTGGTTACGGGATTCGCATCGGACTCGGCACCGGAGACAATCAACGATCAACTCCAAGAACCCGGCTTTCTGCGCAGCGGACTTCAAGAAAGCCGTGGATGTCAGCTGATAAAGCAGTCATGTAGACTCTTGATTCAATTCAGATCCACAGTAGTTGGATAGTTTTTCAACTCTTCAGGCCTGGAAACATGTCGTACTAATCAAGAGTTCAGCTGTCCAAACTCTTTAGCTGTCCATTATGAGTATACATTGAAACCCCTAAGAGTCTACATGACTGCGGTCCAAACGCTAACACCATCACTCCTACGCTAAGTTAGCGATGTCCACTCAAAAAGTCCTTCCTTTGATCCCTCGACTCCTGACCCGGGTACTCTCTCATGTTCATTCCAAGAGACTCTCCAGGAGGCCTTGCACACTCTTCACGCTCAGCCGGGGTACCAAGTCATCACGGTTCACCACCTGAGGTGACTCGTCGTGTAGCGTTCGCATCGTTCTCCTCTTCATCCACCTACTTAGCTCCAAACGCGAGCTTTCGAAAGCCGTTCCGGTTAAAAAGGTATGGAGTTGTTGGCATCCAACCCATCAAATGAGAGGTCTCCGCTCAATATATAAGTTGAGAGCCAAATTTGGAGCGAAACCAAAAGGACCCAAGGACAAGTCGACCTGTTGAAAACATGCAAAAACTGGATACTGACTGATACTGGATACTGGTATAATTAGGATCGTGGAAACATCGATCTGTTTCACTAGTGTTCACTATAAAGTCTACCAGAACTCCGATGTATGACTTGCGCAAAAACAACACATTTGTGATCATTTCTTGTAACCAGGCCATGCATTGCTCATGACATCTCATGACCAGCCATGGGCAGATTCGCCCCGCGCATCCTTCTCCAAGCGACCGACACCATGCCTTAGCCGCTCGAGCGACCAAAACCCACTGCCACGCACCGCTCGAGGGCCGGTGTGGTCGGACCGTAGCGGGGCGGACCGCGGAACCCGCAAGTGCAACACGGCCCGGCGGCAGAGGGGCCATTACCCCCGCAGGAACAGGGGTTGAGCGGGCCGGGCGTGGAGCGTTCAAACACTACAATATGCACCCAATAAGCAGTCACAACTTGTAGGCTCCCTTGATATGGTGTATAATTCTATCCGCGCATGGGGAAGACATACCGCTCATTGAGTGGGGAACTCTCCACATACAATCGTTCGATATCTCGGTCCGCGATTCTGGGCACCGAGGCTCAGCCACCTCTCCAGGCCAGGCTTCGTGGAATCCCTACAAAAGGGACCTACTAGGTGAAGGGTGACGTCGTGGTGCTTAGCTTTAGTCTTTAGAGGATGCGTTTTCTATCGCTTTCCTGTGTTTCTTCTTGATGTCATTAGGTTTTGCAATGGAAACCACTGGGGTGGCCGTGGCCTCATTGAATCATTGAGCCTTCGGAAACAAAAAGGGAGGAAGCTACCTTCCGTACCTTCTCTGTCTCCGGCAACCTCTGATGAACCTCAACACTGCTTTTCCAGAGGTCCAGAAGTGTCAACTTCGCTGCGCCGTCATCCTTTGGACAGAGTATGACACGAGGCCGAAAACCTTTTTCCCCACAGCCTTTAATGAGCCCTGCAAAACACCGCCACAAGCAGTCATGAGCAGACAAACCACAAACACAATCACACACCCACAGCCACAAACACACAACCACCACAAAAACAACCACAACCACAACCACAATCACAAACACACAATCACAAACACACATTCACAAACACACAGCCACAAACACACAGCCGCAAGCACACAAACACAAAAACAACCGCAACACACAACTACACAACACAGCCACAAACAAAAAAACACAAACACACACAACACACTTTGTCACAGGGTTTGCAGTTTCCATAATCCACAGTGAAATGAATGAGGGAACGGAAAGGCCCAAAGTCGGCTGAACAGAAATGTTTAATAATGTTGACGCGTTAGCACTTTACTGAATACTTAGCAAACAGAAAAGGGGGAGGTTTAGGGGAATAGCATGAGAACCACCATGAGAAGCAAGCCGAAAGGAGAACAGCTTGTATAACAGTTCAGCAGGTACGTTTGCAGCTCCCCCCACTACCTCTTCGTTGGCCATCCGCCACTGGGGAGGGGGATGGCCCCCTGCTGTATGAAGTAAACCGGAAACATTGGAAAACTCTTGGAAACAGAGTGTGACACACACACACACAACCACAAACGCAATGACAGGCACACAGCCACAAACATACAACCACCAAACACAACCACAAACACACAACAGCAACACACAACCACAACAAACAGCCACAAACACAAACACAGAACTGCGTACAACAATATATTTACCTGTGTGTGAGTGGCATGTTGCGTGGCAGGTGGTCACTGGATAGCACTTTTGGACGCCAACTGGAGACACTGGCGACACCCCAACGCGAACTCCCTAACGCTAAAAGAACAATCCCAAACCCGAGGACCCACAAGCAAAATCGAACACCACAAAACTCACGACCATGGCAACATGCTCCTCACCATGGCACTTGGCAGCCAATGATTGACATGTCATGGTGGGGATCACTCGAAGTAAAGCAATTCTTCTTCTCCGAGAACCGGTCCATCTTTGGATGTCTCCCGGCTGGGCTCACTTTCCAGTCGACGGTCCCAACAGGCCGTTCGAAGGTGGAACGTGGAGGAACTGCTCAGTGGCGCTTCTGCCTTCTAGGTGGCGCTTCTGTCCCACCAGCCGTTTCCGCCCAGGCACAGTTCAGCAGGCTGGGCATCAGCTGCTCGTCCACACAGGCTGGGGTGCCGAAGCCATAGCAGTCTCAGACACGGCTGCAAGGGGCGCGAGAAAAGCGCGGGGACTGGAGAACCGCAGTGGGATGGAAAGAGTGTTGTTACTGCAATATTGGCTTCGTGGGATCATAGTTGATCAGGGAGTTTTCTTGAGGGCAAAAGCTGAGTCATCTGGGGAATCTGTAGAAGAACGATTACCGTCTCCCAACCTGTTCCAGGGATGTCGGCTACTTGAAACCACCAGCCCACTCAGGGGGCGATTCGCTGCTGTTGCAGGAAGCTGGAGAAACGGGGAGTTGCTTTGTTGAAGCTTTTTGAAGTGTGAAAAAACGGTTTCCTCCTAAGCCTTCTTCTAACAACGAAAAGACCATCGTCATGTCTCAGCATTGAGGATGAAGTCAAACTAGCACAGCAACCAGCACATTTGAGTTTCGATACTGACCTTCCTCTGCCGTATGCAGCTACATTCGACTGACTTGCGGAGTCCCCCCAAACCTAACTGCAGATTCCCTTGTCGGGCACAGGAAATTGAACCAACGTGATGTCCTGGGAGGCTTCTCAGTACCGATCTACCCCAACAATCTTTTGGCCTTCCATGGCAGGGGTCCGGACCCGAACCTTTTGAGGGCCCCGATTCTTAGGGAGGAGACAGCTTTTTGTCCCTGCAGCGCCCAACGTCTTAGCTAGGATATCCTTTGTGAATGAAGTTGCCACGGCTGCATGGATATCTACGAGTACTGCCCTTTGCGCAGAGGGAACACTGCACTCGCCCCTTGGGCCTACCTCCGCACCAAACGAATGAATATCCTAACGCCAGATTTTTGTTCGGCTTTGTGTATGTGACAATCCACCTTGGCTTGTTGTGGGGAGTAACCCCTTGGCTTGTTATGTGACACAATCCACCTTTCATCGGCGACGCTCTCTGACCCCATCTCAACGGTAAACCATTGCAGCGAACGCAAAGAAAAAAAAAACACATCAAAAAAACATTTCCCTTAGTGTCCATACATTCGGATATGAAAACCAATGCGTCTGCTCACAAGGACCCTTCCAAACGGCTTTGGAACAACGCTCGCGCTCTCTCTCTCTCTAGCTACATATATATATATATCTATATTGAACAAATCCCTGTCTATATGCTATTATGATATTATTATGATATATTATGACTGCTATTATGCTGTATGACTTGCTATATGCTATAAAGAATTGCCATCGCCCGGTTCGAGGCGCATAGATTCGAGATCTGCGGCCGCAGGATGAGCGTCAAGAAGGCGCCCACCTACGAGGAGTCGAACGCGAGGCGTCGAACGCATGGCCGGTGGTGTTCCGTCGCAGGAAAAGGACTCCCATTTGACCTCGAACTGGTAAGTGGTGGATGAGTACCAGTGAGTACCAGGTGGAGTGAAATGAGTCAAGTCTCGGAAGTTCTGGGATGACTTTTGGATCTTTCTGGAAGCAGGGATGCCTTGGAGTTGATGCTAGTCTTGAAACTGCCCACCGTAGTACCGCCATCATGAGGGATAGGCCAATTAGTTGAATCAAAAATGCGCGGAATTCGCTGGACTTAGAACTAGCAGTTAAATCAACTTTTTTGTTGGAACAAACTGGCAACAGGTCGGTCAAACCTGGTACACTCCGACTCACTAACATGGAACTGGAAAACACCCTGTTTGTAAAGGAAAGTAGTCTTCCAAGAGGCCATTGTCCACTTCCAAGTCAAGTTAGTGAGTCAGAGGGTATCAAGACTTCAGATTGGATGTTTCTTGGTTCAACTAACCAGGAACAAAAACACACTTAAACAAGCACTCAGAGCAATCTGTGTCTTCTTCCATCTTCTTCCACTTATCCAAAAAAAGTTGCGTACTTCGCTTTCTCCGGCGCTCGGTTCTCTTCCGGAACACCGGCCGAAGACCGCCGTCCGTTCGTCGCGTTCGTCGCTCGTTCCGTCAAAGGCACTCCGGCACCCAGCGAATGCCCCAGGATGGTAATCCGGAAGCCTGGCGCAGATGAGTTTCGACGTGCGGAAGATTCCGGGTGGATTCCGACATGTATACCTTGGGTGTATCCGAACATCCCTGGGCCCAGTGGATGATGATGGTTAGGTTGTAGGCCTTCCTCTCAAATAGAGATTTCTTGTTTACCGACTGTTACAGGTAATAGGAGCCCCCGAATGCATACCCCAAGTGGTGAAGGATGGAGAGGGGGGGATGGAGGAATTGTCACAAAGTGACAAAGGCCATGAACTAGTGTTTGCGATCAGCCCTCCAAATGATAGTTTCTTGGAACCCCTGCTATCCACCATGACCCAAATCATTCATATCTATATAGAGCTAACTGGGCTGCTGGGATCTGGTCATCCGTCACCTACATGGTAGAATCTTGCATCACAGCGAGTAAAACTGCTGTTCACGGGAAACTTGCTATGATTCCAGGCATGGTCCTCCTGTGCATGAACATGTTCGGAGCCAAAGGTGTGCAAAACAAAACCAAATAGCAGCTATGGAACATGACATTCACGTGAAATAAGCCGAACGTGATCCCTCCAGCGATGATCCCGGGACTACCCATCACAAGGAAAACGTGTTTCTGAGGCACGATGAGCACCAACGGGCCCTCTGTCAGGGACACGGATATCCTTTAATTCACAATAAACAAACTGCATCGGCTTGTAACTTGCGTGCTCATGTCCGTCCCTCACGCCACAAAGAGTCTGACTTGCAGCGGTATCATAAGCAATAGATAATGTAAATACCTGCAGCACTAATTGGGCACTTCGAAGATTTCGCGGGCCAAACACCTCACCAACGAAGCCTCTACACCACGGATCTGGCACTCCTGACACGCGACACACGACGCCCCGCCACTTCCCTATACACCCATCCAAACGCGCCCCGATATCACCCAATTCCATCACACTGGACGAGTCATTAGTAGTTACATGGCTCCCCCATTTCGCCCCATGGTGGATCGTCACTCGGTCCTTGGACTCTTCGGAGGTTCGCAGAGCAGAGCGCGCTCGGGTTTCTGCCCGCGCCTGAGGTGTAAAGCCGGATCAAGGCCTCAGGGGCTTCAGTACCGCTGCGGCGGGGCCACCGAGATGGGGGTTTCCAGAGCATGGTTCCGGCATCGAAGTGTTTCTGGGAAAATGCCAGGGGTCCTCATGGGTCCAAGGAAAAGGAAAGAAGGGTGGGAGAACTCTGATTCTCACCACCAAACAGGGGCGTTGCATTAGCCTCCTTCGTTCCCCCACCTCAACTCGCCAAGCTGCTGGTCCCACTTGCTCCTCCATCCAGCGAGCTGACCTGGCGCATGCGGGGTGAGCAAGCGGTCACGCGGTCACGGACGCTAGCTAGGGGGACCTGGCTGTATGGCTCATCAATCCTGGACAGGTCTATTAACCGCCTAAAGGGGAGGCGATCAGATTGCAGATCCAACTTTTCATCTCCAACCTACCCACCTTTCAAGCCATAACTAGGTGGGCTTGCTGTGCGGTAAAAATGCTCACAGCTCCTCATTGTTTGGACTTCGAGTGATCCCCATTTGTGATTTTGCTTGTGGGTCCTTGGGCTTGGGGATTCGGGATGTTGTTTTAGTGTTGGGGAGTTCGCGTCGGGGTGTCGCCAGGGTTTACATGTGGCATTCTAGCCAAAGTGCGGCCCTGTGACCACCTGCCACGCAAATGCCACACACAGGCAATTATGGTGTTGTTGTGGTGGTTGGCTGTGTTTGTGATTGTGGTTGTGGTTGCGCTTGTGGTTGTGTGTTTGTGGTTGTGTGTTTGTGGCTGTGTGTTTGTGATTGTGTGTTTGTGGTTGTGTGTCTGTGATTGTGTTTGTGGTTATGCGTTTGTGATTGTGCGCTTGTGTTTGTGTTTGTGGTTGTGTGTTGCGTGTAGTAGTTCGTGGCTATGCGTTTGTGATTGTGCGTGTGTGTTTGTGTGTGGTTGTATGTTGTTGGTTGTGTGTTGTGCGTTGAGCTCCGGCGCTGCCCACTGTGATCCGGCGCTTGCTGTTGAGGTCCGGCACTGTCCGCTGCGATCTGGCGCTTGCGGTTGAGGTCCAGTAGTGCCCACTGCGATCTGGCGCTGGCGGTTGAGGTCCGGTAGTGTCCACTGTGATCTGGAGCTGGCGGTTAAGGTGCGGCAGCGCCCGCTGCGATCTGGCACTTGCTGTTGAGGTGCGGTAGCGACTGCGATGTGGCGCTTACTGTTGAGGTCCGGTAAGTGCTTGATTTGTCGCCTTCACCATCGTGCACGCCTCCTCAAAGCGTTCGAGAGAACATATCCTGAAGCATTCAACGATGGCAGCAGAATTCGATGCAGGGAGTCACAATGTACTCACTTGTAGGCAACCCCATCTTTGGCGAAAAACCACCTAGCATATTTGAGCGCTTCCGCTAATCACAGCATGAGCTTCCACCCCGAGGGAAACATGGACAAGTGATCGGCAATTGAGTCCTCACGAGGGCGGTACAGCTGAATGGCCGGAATCAATGAATAGATTTTTATTGATTTTTCTGGCGGATCCAGGTGGCGCAGACAAAAAAGGGAGAAATGCGACAAGTGACCGTAATAGTTGTCCATTGCCAATTCTGTGCAGAAAAACTACTTCCAACTTCCAGTGTATGCATTCTTCGAATCGAGGTCCTGCGCTCCCTGCCCCATACGACCCACTGCTGCCGAAATGTCTATACAGCATCATGACCACATAGCGTTAAATATTTTTGCACCTCAAAGCCACCTCAGCCTCCCCCTGGTTCAGTATCTCTTGACAAGCCACGAATGCTGCTTGAGCAAGACCAACAAATCGCTCCGCCGGAAAAAGTTCTGCTTTTGGTGGAACTCGACCATGAAACTCTTCGAAGCAGGCCCATCCACTGCCGACGGCTGCCCATTGTCTGTTGCGCAAGCTTGCCCACCTGTCAAGCCTCTGTGAGTGCGCCTCCAGGACATCGAAGAAGCGCCCCAGAGCAGAGCGAACCTCACTCACGTTCTCTTGCACCCTGACGTGGCAGCCATCCTCATCAAACTTCCAATAACGCTGGCATGTCCTTCCCAAGAGGGAGCGTGAGTGTGAGTGTGAGTGAGAGCGGGAGGGTGAGTGAGTGTGAGTGCTTGTGAGAGTGCGAGTGAGTGTGAATGTGAGTGAGAGTGAGAGTGAGTGTGAGTGACTGCGCTCACAAAGTGCCTGCCACGAAATCTGCACTTCAAGGTTCATGAAGTGCTGCGCCTGCCACGAAATCTGCACTTCGAGGTGCACAAAGTGCTGCACCTGTCACGAAATCTGCACGTCGAGGTTCACAAAGTGCTGTGCCTGCCACGAAATCTGCACTTCGAGGTTCACCAAGTGCTGTGCCTGCCACGAAGTCTGCAAACGAGCCACATGTGGAAAAGCTACGATTCTCTGCACCTGTCACGAAATCAGAGCGCCTCGACGATCACCACCATGTCCACAGTGCTGCACCTGCCACGAAATTGCACTTCGCAGTAAAGCCGCTCCGATCCCTTGCGCCTGTCACGAAAAGTCGAGGTTTCCGAAAATGCGCACGGCGCCACAACGAGAGCGCAGTCGCTGGAAGCACCCGCCGCCGGCCCCCAGATTCTGCGAGCCTGCGCAGTCGAAATGCACATTGACGATGTCGAGAGGCATGAATGTACTGTAAATAGCAGCGAATTTGCCGCACACGCCCGCGCGGCACGGCGATCTAAGCACACCTGCTTTTCTATCTTTTCTACTACCGTAAGAACCCCTATAGTGTGTCCCACACTGTTTGGGGAAATAGGCTCCAAGGATCTCTGAATAGGGAACTTCCTCAGGGAGGGTTACAGTAGCAGTTTGCTGGGGCCTCAACTTGATCCACTGCATCACTCTAGACTCTAGAAGCCGCCCTTCTTACAGGTCTTCCACTTACTTCCTTGGTCGGACTGGGGTCGCGGCTGAATCATGCCACGATGGCCCTGGCCAGTGCCAAACCTGGGACTCACTGAAGCATCGGCTGCCATCGGTTGCCGATGGACTGGGTGAAGAGGTCAAAACCCTAACTTCTAGTTATGACCAAACTATGCTTAATAAGTTAGGACCATGCTGTTAATATTGGTTCGGTCCATTTCACCCCTTATGCTTAATATTGGTTCGGTCCATTTCACGCCTAGTTGTGAGGGTCAAAACCCAAACCGCGAACTGAGGATCCTTTCTGAGCCTTTGGGATGCTTAATTATTCACGCATAGTCGTTCCCTGAGATGGCTGTCCTGAGGAGAAGAAACATGTCATGCGATGTCATGCGTCACACTGGCGGTCAGCATTTAGAATGAAAGGCCTCAATTTGGTCCTTCCCAAGCACCAAGCAATTGCAAAAGCACCAAGGCTGCGATGTCGATGATTTCCACCAGTCCATTCTAAACACGGTTATCCAAGCTGCGGCTCCTCGGCGGCGTTGAAGTCGGTGACCAGATCTGACAAGTTCCGCGTGCCGGGCATCACCTTGTCCGGACACAGACACCACGGGTGCCGCGACGGTGCCTTGACGGGACCTGGAGGAAGCACCGTTGAAGAGATCAGGTAGCACTGTAGCACCGACCCCTAATTCCTAAGCAAGTCGATTGAAAAAATACACCACGACTCCAAAGAAGAAAGCATAAACTTCGAAACACCTCCAAGTGGGGGATCAATTGCTTCCTGCCATGGAGTCGCCATGCTTGTCCACGGGTCGTCTCGGTACTGTCCGCGCCCCGTCGCCATTGACTCGCCATCCTCGCCGAGGCGCCAAATACGCGACCCGTGCTTGATGCGCGCACACCTGCCATCGGTCGATCATTCGCTATCGTCAACGTGGCGAGGTGGCCAAAGACCGGACAATTCCTGGGTCTGGACGCGAACCGAACGGGGCTCCTGGCATCGCTACTAGGAGCGATCGGACGCTACGAACGGGGCTGGGTCTGAATCCGTTGGAGGCATTTGGCGGCGAGCTGATCTTTCCTCTAAACATCGCATGAATCTCCCCTTCCGTTCTTGAATGTTCTTTTGGAGGTCCTTCCTCCCAAAGAATCTTATCCAGAAAGAAACATCGCATCCAGTAACTCCCGAAAACCCACCCCAAACGCCCACCACTCCCTTTTAATTGATCTCCATCCCACCCTCAACATCCACCCTCCGCGCCAGGAAGAAGCTGGGCACCGTGGGGCTTCCGCTGAACTCCGCCAGCACCAGCTCGGCGCCCGGCATCGCTTGCCGCAGCAGGCGCTGCGCATCCGTGGGCGTGCTCTCCTGCGACCGGTGGCCACGGCGACCGTGGGCAGGCAATGTTCAAGCCATGGCCATGCCATGCCATTATGCCATATTTTGAGGTGATTTCTTTAGTACAAATGCAGTACAAAAGCAACAATTAGATCATTGCTGGCTGTTCTTTGGTGATCTTTGTGCCTCTTCCAATCTTTCATCACCTTGTGAAACATCACCAAAGATAACATCACCTTGTGAACTCTGAGCCATGGTTGAGTGGTTCCCTTCGTGCCCAGCCTGTGCCCTTCCACAGCTGAAACAAGCTTCATGGGATGTGGGGTACTCAGTCCAAGGTAGATGCCAATTAGGAGAACTATGCACCGGGAAACACCTTGATCGGCTCAAGTGTCAGATATATGTTGAATCATTTAAATACCAATAACTATTCCAATACTATCAACAGGTCCCAAGAAGATTGTTGGAGGTTCCCATGCGCATTGGAGGCTTCCAGGTCCTCAAAACCGGTGCCACCTTGTAAGAAGTGGCTCGTAATTAAACGCAGCTCCCCACGTTTCGCCAGGTTCCCAGTGCCACAAGCGGTAACCGAAGCATCGGTGAAGCCATCATCATCATCATCATCATCAGCAGCAGCAGCAACAGCAGCACTACTATGGTGAACCCTCCATGAGGCACTGTGGTAGGTCTTGCCGGTCTGGAACATCAGAAACACGACGAGTTCGCCCAGCTGGCCACAAAGCGGCACCCACCGGTACCTCAAGATCAATTGTTGGAGGGAGCCATTAGAAGCTGGGCCGCATGGAGCATATCAACCCTTAGGGGTCATTCTGTAGGATTTGCTGGGTTTTCCTCCCAGCTTTCCTGGAGAAACACTCTCTTCGTTCCAAAGAAACGGTCCTTGGAGACCAAGAGGAGTCGGGTCAGATGACGAAGGGTCAACAGCAATCCATGGTCCGGCACTGGCACCTGCAGTCGAATGAGTGTGCAGTCGAGCGGAGGAATGGAGGTGGTCGGAGTGAACAAGGCGCGGTTTTGATATCAGGGGGGATGTGCTGGAGTTTCTGGGGAGTCGCTGCGACAATAGGACACAGGGTTTCTCTCTCATGGATGTAACAGTTTTGTTGGATAGGCGGTAGGAACATGAAAAGAATACTAGGAGGATTAGGGAGTATTCTGGGAGTGTATAGTGTGTCACGTTTCATCAAAGTGAAAAGGCTATTAATTTTTTTATCCCTAGCCCTGTAAATCCTACATCCTCAGAAGACAGGAGTTAATCCTCCAAACATTCTTTTATGGGAGCTTGCTTCTCCAATGTGGCAACGTGCAACTCCGAAACCGCCTCACCATCCGCTGCATGCTGCGCCATTTCCATGTCTGGGACTCGGCCTGGAGCAGGCCACAATGCAAAAATGCAGAAAAACGACTGTTTCCCCAAAGGCTTTTTCGGGACTTAAGCCATGTGTCAAGGTCAAGGGTGGTGAGGGTTGTTAGAATTTACGTCAGCCCCATCTCCTCCTCGTCCTCCTCCTCCTCCTCCGCAACCTCGTCCTCTGCCTCCTCCTCCTCCTCCTCGTCCTCTGCCTCCTCGACTGCCACCATCTGCTTCTCGCGACCAATGTTCTCTGCCGGACCTCAACCGCGAGCTCCAGGCCCAAGTGTTCCCCGCCGGGTCCGTACCCTCAACTGAGCTTGTGTCTCTCTTCTCGTCTTCAGGGGCATCCTTTGATCGCTCCTTCTTGTCATGCTTCTTTCGAGAAGCACTTGAGGACCTCTTCTTCTTCGAACTCGATCGCTCATGAGACTCATCAAATAACTTTGACTTCTCTGAATGGTCCTTCTTCCCCCCATAGGACTCCTTGCTATCTTTACGCTTCGAAGACTTGTCCTGCCCTCACTTGATCCTTTCCCGTCTTTCCCCGTATCATCTTCTTTGTCATCATCGTCGGAGTCAATCACGCTTCGAAGAGGAATGAATTGGTGCGAATTTTGGTAGCAGCCAGGTGGGAACCTATAGAGGGGCTGGTCTACACCATTAATCACTTCTTGCATGTATCGCGAATACCAGGTCCAAAACTCTGGGAGTATTGCGGCCCAGGCTCGAAGTGATTCGAGGGAGACTAAACCGTCCTCTGGCGTATCCGCCCAGGCATCTGCGTGGTGAACCACGTACCGATACCATTCCGGATAGTTCCTCCTCGCTGCCAATGGCTTTATAAAAGGAAGATGCCAGGCACGTCCTGTCTCTTTATAAGTGAAAGCTGCCATATGGCTTGCGATGATGTCGCAAGTTTCGGCGTATCGCTTATCACTAGCCTCGAATGGGTGTTTTTGTCCACCACGCGCTCCCCTAGTGCGCTTGGGCTGAGGTTGGAGGCCTGAAGGGCTGCCTGAATCAGAGGCAACTTGAACAGCCGGGAGGTCTGTGGGTTCTCCTTTCAAAGTGAAATAAACTCAATGACTCGCACAAGATAAAAAAAGTTCCGCAGTGAATTTGGCATACTTCATGGAAACCTTCGTGGATGTCGCTGAACCCATCAAAGTATTGGCAACACTGAAATTCGTGCAGGGCGTACCAGATCCACTCAGATCAAAACATTTCGCTCCATGTCATCCGGCCATGGCACCTAACGCCAGTTCTGGAAGCGGAAGACCAAAACTGGATGTTTTGAAGGATAAACTTTCGAGGACATGATGTGAAGCACAAACACTGAAAAGAATTGCTGAAAAAGAGTTGAAAGCAAAGCCTGTTAAAAAATCATTGTGCGATTATCCCGGCAAGAGACCCCAAACAGTGTGTGTGAGGTCTAGAGGTGTAGCAGCAGAAAGTCTAGAAATCTAGACGCATTGGGGTCCAAAGAGATGACACAGTTCTGTAGATCGATCTATAACCTGGCATAACCCGCTGCATATCTCCGCTGTCCCGGACTCTATGGTGTTTTTCAAATTTTAAACAGGCCACTGCTAATCGGGAAGACGATTTTCCTAGACTTCCTTCAGTTCATTCAGAATGTCTTTTGTGGCCTGGTATCTTTATGTGCTCAAATCTCTTAAACGGCATCATTGATGCAAATGAAACCGTCTAATGCTTTTTGCGCGAAACATTGTCCTTTGGACAAGTTCCTTAGGCAGCTTTTCTGCACAGCCATGCAACATGCCCGAAGGTTAATAGCTTCCGTCGCAGCCGCAGCCACACACTTCAAATCATAACTTACCTTTTTCTGGTTGGTTGTGCTTTATTGATGACTTTAGGATGTATGTCCGAGGTGTTTTTTTCAGAAGGGGTAGCCATGGGGGGGTGGAGTGGTGTAGATTGTAGAAGCGCAGGTTTTTGTAAGGATAGTGATATGTAGACAATAGCCAATGCAAAATACCTTAATAAGCACACCAAGAAAAAACAACAAGTTCAGACCAACAAGTGCCCAAAAACAAAAACACAAACAGTTCAGACCAATTAGATTAAAATTGAAGACTCATTTTGAATTCAATTACATCGGATTCAGTTATGAACTTAGAATTAAATTAGAAGTGTGTTGCACATTCACAGTTAAACTCAAATTTGAATTTAATTTTGGATCTGAAGTAGTCAAACATAATTAGAACTATAGTAAAACTACATCAGATGAAAAATTGACTTAGAATTTGACTACAATGCTGCCGGGCCTCAACTGCGAGCTCCAGACCCAAGTGTTCCCCGCCGGACCTCAACCGCGACCATCCGCGCCCAGTGTTCCCTGCCGGACCTCAACCGCGACCATCCGCGCCCAGTGTTCCCCACCGGACCTCAACCGCCAGTTCCGGACGGCAGTGTTCCCCGCCGGACCTCAACCGCCAATTCCGGACGGCGGTGTTCCCCACTGGACCTCAACCGCGAGTCAGAAGAGATGCCAGGAAGAATGTCAGAAAGAATGATGTCAAAAGATATGCCAGAAAAAAAACCTCAGAAAGAATGTCAGAAGATATGCCAGAAAGAATGCGCAAATAATGTTTCAATACATGCCGAAAAGTTGTCAGTTTGAACAGTTCATGTTTTGGTGGGGATCATTCGATGTGAAGTAATTGGGAACAGTGACTTCTCCCCTGTTCTCCCTAAAGGCTCTTCTTAGCATCTCCCACCTTCTCCGCATGGCGGAGTCTCCCGCCGGACCCGATGGTGGTGCGTTCGGTGGTCCGCCTCGCATGCCCCAGTGTTCACCCATGCTGTAGTAGAGCCCTCCGAAGAAGTCTGGCGACGCCAAGCGGTGATAGGAGGGCAACCTGGTGACGCCAAACACGAAGGACTCCAGGACGACGGACCTGGGGTTTTGGAACTCAGAAAAACATGGTGAATTACGTGGATGGCACCACCTGTTTTGGTCTTCCGAGCCTTCGCTCTCCGAAAGAAAGGGGCCATTGTCCCGTCCATGTCACCTGATACCCATGACCCAAACACGACCAGTCTGGGACTGCCATCGGACTGCCGCCACCCCGATTTGGAAGTCCGGCAGTCCCAAACACCAACCGAGGTGGACAGTGACCTGAACTAGGACCCTACAGGGGTACTTATAGCGCTTATAGGATAGTCTAGTTCGGGTCCTTCAACCTCTGTTGGCACGTCGTGCTTGGGTGATTTCAGGGACTCCGCGGACTCCGTGTGGACTCCTTGCCGAACGAACACCTGCACGACGACCGCTGCACACGGCACGACGACGGCGGTCGCGGCGGTCGCGAGCCATTCGCACAAGACGTCCCTGTGTCTTAGAAGGTGAAGATGCAAAGCCCTACAAAAAGCTCTGATTAAATCACAGGGATTCTTTTTTTGGGGGGGACCGAACACAGAAAGATGCTGCTGGCATATCTGGTGTCGGCAGGGGGGCTGTGTGTTTCGTCTCTCTTGTTGGCAACTCTCCTGATCTGGTCTTCCAGGGCTCTCTCTCTCTCTCTTTTTCTCTTTCGTGCACCTTGGGGCCTCTCTTTGCGCGCAAAAAGCGAGCGTGCTTCCAGGCAACTCCAGTTTCTTCGCCAGGCCGAGGATGAGCTGGAAAGACTCCATAATCTCATTGCCGGCCAAAATCAGCGGGCCGTACCTGCCGCTACGCACCCTACATGCTACATGACATCGTCAACGCAACGTTTTGAAAAAGCTGCAAGGCACGAAGAGATGCCGTCCCGAAGCAGCATTGCCAGTCATGGCTGTGCGTCAGCTGAACATGGACTCGGAACAATATGTCACTCGTCCAGTTCGAGGTTGGACATACAACCCTAAGACCCCAAGCATCAACCCCAAACAACTGCGATGAAATGTCGCCATGGCTTCGTTGTACAACTTCAAGATTCAAGAACATGGACTGCCGGAAAAGGTCAATCGACTGTGGTTTTGAGCTGCTTGGTTGGGCTTTTAACTATTTTTAACTCATGTTCACCAATCTAACCTTAGGCTTCCAACCACCATTAATAGGCTCTACTGAAGAACCATTGTTTTACTAAGGATCTTACACTAGAAAACCATTTCAACCAAATGGTTAATGGTCTTGGAATGTCTTGGACGTCGAAAAAGCTTTGGGTGTTCCTTCTTCGCCGCGCCTGACCAAATAGTAGCCCGCCTCGATCGCCTGAGCAGCCTGGCGGATTGCCGGAACACATCTGACTCGGTATCGTTTCTCCGTAAAGAAAGCACCTTGAGATAAGAAAGCACCTTCTGACAGGCACAAACCACTAGTGGACTAGTTCTCATTACAGCACGGACCGGGCAACTCCGAAGATCCCAAATCCGTCCGACTCCGCGCTGGAGGGCGGCGATGGACTCACTGCGGCGAGCGCAGAGGCGCGCGCGCGCGCACGCGCGAGCGAGTTGGACTTGGTGAGCTGGTGACCCAAAGCGAAGGAAAAGGACCTTCAATGACATAGTGTTTTCAAAACTAGTAGGTTGGAGGCATTTGGAGGCCATTGCTAGTAGGTTGGAGGCCATTGCTTGTGAAGTCCCTCTGACTCAGTGACCTCCAATGTTCGTGACTTCCAAGAAAAGGGGATGAAAGGGGTCACTTGCGTCACTTGGAAGAGCCATGCAGAAGGAAACAAATTATATATAACGACTGACCGCGGTCTTCAGTGGTCTTCGCTGATTCATGGAACCCACACGTGTGAACCCACATGATCTGGGCCGTGCCTGTGCCCATGGAATGAATCCAGAGACTTTCTTCAGACCTGAACGGCAGCGTCACCGTGATTTTCGGAGTACACCAAACTTGGAAGTGGAGCGCCACCGGTGTGACGTCTTCTTGTTGAGTCTTTGAAGAACATGGATGGCACATGATTGCATGTAGACTGGGATCCATGCATCGCTACCTTCGTAGCAAGAAGCTACTAAGGGCGGCTAAGGGCATTACGTGCGTAACCAGTGCGCGCGTCGCAATACGGCCCCGGGCGCGGCCACGACCGTAGCGATCCACCGCGCGAACGGAGCGGACGTCGAGGAGGATCCGAGGATCCGACCGCTCCGTTCGCAGCGATGCCACGGAGAGCTCCGTTCGTAGTACGGCCAGGAGCCCCGAACGGTAGCGAACATGGTTCCCTTTTGCACTGGAAATTCCACGCAAATATGTCACAAGCCTCCAGTTTCCGCATCAAAACACATCAAGGCTCGAGCCAGCGTGGGCAGCATGAGCCCTTGTAAACCTTAAGGAAACAGGCATAAACACACCATGGCCAGTCAATGAGCACAGACCTTGATGAATGCTTTCCTCAGTTAGGTCATAGACTGAAGAATTTAAGTTTTCATAAGTTTTCTATGCCCGGTTCACTAGCTGTCACCCATCGATACATTTGGACGTGCTTCACAAATTCACGAAGATGGTTGGAAGTGCAGATTCTAGCCGTGTTCATGAGCTCTTTTTGAGTCATACCCATACCTATAGCCATTGGACGCCGGCCCACCTACTGCGACCGCCGGACTTCCTCTGCCGGCCACACTTTGCTCCTTACAATCCGCCGGACGACCTCGTGCGGTGCGCAGGCACGCTGGACGACCGCGTAAAGCGTGCCTTGCATGGCATAGCCACTGAGGCGCAAGGTTTGTTCCAATTTGCTCCTCAGACGGCCGAGCCGTCGCGAGTCGGAAGAACGGTCAGACCAGACATCTGAAGACGTGCGAACACAAAGCGCCGCGAAGGAAGATGGGATTTATTGGAGGTAAGGCTTCTGTACCTTGTACACATTGATGTGTTATACACATATACCTTATAGTGTTTTTGCTATTAGCTATCTTATTGTAGACCAGCAGGCTTATAGTAGTCTCTCACTTAAAGCTTCCAGTTCAGCGAAGGCTCTCGGGGTCATAAGTGTAGGGCTCCAAGTGACTTCCCAAGAAGGCCTTGGAGTGCGCAAAACAGGAACACCAAATCGGCAAAAACTCATTCAATGTTGACTGTTGATGAATAAACCCCATGAGATGTGAACAACCATCCAGGAGACGGAGGGTTTTAAGTGCGTAGCATCGACATGCTACAACTAAATGAACCAACAAATATCAAGAAATGAATTGAAAGATCATGAAAAATCCTTACCCCCCCAGCGGATATACATTATTAAGGGGGCCCCCAGCTTTATCCTATCCTATTCATTTTCAGTGCTAAAAGAAAACCCTCCAGTAAAGCCTACAGAGATCTACAGAGTAGCAAGGTGGCTGAACCACTGGACGATGTCGGAAGAGCACGAGACCTCCGCTTTCCCTTGCGGACCTCCAGCTTTAACGATTGCCAGGAATGAATGCAGTCAAGTGATGTCCTACAGTACCTTTTTAAAAACTGGTCCGGCAAAGTGGTTCTTGGATTCCACCTTCTGGACATTGCTTAGCTTGGGATCCCGGAATCTCTCGTTGGACGCCTGTGCTGAGTCAAGTGGCGTCGATTCTTTGAAGACGAAGCCGAGCATTCCCCTCCGCGCACCTGCGACCGAAAAACGCTCGACAGGAGTCGAAAGCAACATAGGAGACATGACCAGCAGAGGTTGAAGAACCCTATAGGCTATCCTATAGGTACCCCAGTAGGGTCCTAATAAGGTCACTCAACCTCTGTTGGGATGTAACGAATATAGACTAGAGCAAAACACGGTAGAATTGTCACACGTTGTACACAGCTGGTGATTGACAGAAACAAAAGAGCATGATATCAGAATGGAGCTTCCACAGGCGGAAACAGCTCGAACAAATCGTTTGAACATTGCACCGCAACGATCGGGAGTTCGGTGTACTGAACGCGAACATTCTCGAACAGCCTACTTTTTTCGACAGCACCAAAAAAATGGTCACCCACAAACTGCCAAAATCAAGTGACTGAACCTTGGCAAATGGTCGAATGTGAACAATTAGGAGGTTGAAGGCTTCGATGGAATACTTGAGACTCAAGAGGTTTTGAGTGGCAGGAGAGCCGCAAACACAGGAGGCATCCCACAACGCACTGTACACCAACAAAAACATACAACAATGACATCTTAGATGGTTCTTACCCACTCCACAGTAGCAGTCAAAAGGAACATCACCTTCACACATGTCTAAACACTTCATCTTACTTGGCCCCTCATTTGAAAAATATCTGGAACATGAGGCGACTGCACCCAATTTGGATATGGGTCAGACCCTACGAGTAGATGACCAAAAGGAACAAACCTAGTATAGGGAGGTCAACATCCAATTGTTTTGGAGTTGGATTTTTTGATCTATGTGGGCCCTTTTGATGGGTACGAATCGAGGTTGTAAGTCTTTCGGTGAAGTACAGTATATAAGTCATGATCCGAACAACTTCTGGGTCTTTCTTTTACCACAGCCCTGTTTCGGTCGAATCGTTCGTTTCACCTCTTCTTCACCAAAGGCTGGCAGCCCTTGCAAAGAATCCTGAGCGAAACAGGTGGGGAAGAGGTGAGGGAAGGTGAGGATCTGAAGCTGATTCCGTGCATGATGAATGGAATTGCGGTTTGCAGGAACCTGGGAAAAACCATACTGCCCAGGTTTCGGGATTTACCCAGCTCGGGGAAACACAAAACCTTAAGCAACACTAGGGTAATGAAGGCATCTGGATCTCCTCTACCCACATCTGTCTGCAGTCTGTGCGGGATCAGACCCCGCGCGTGGACTACGCACCGATTGATGTCCGGAACCACCTGTTGGAACCAGCTCGCAGGTCGCAGCCTGCCTTCACAGGTTTGGATTTGGATCACCTTGTACAGGTCCAATCTCTTGGAACAGATGGGTCAGATGCGGACCATCATTTGCGCACCCAAAAGATGCTCTGAAAGAAGAAGCCATAGAGGGGGGCGGTTGGGTGGGGCCACAGCTGGCCACAGCATGCGTGGTCGCCTGCCAAAGGCCAACAGCTTGGGTACATTCTGTCGCAAAGTACTTGGACTGCGCAACACCACCTGCAAAGGCATGCTTTACATGAGGAACCCCATCAGCAGTTGGCAGAACGAAGCTTCGCTGACCCGACATTGGCTCCCGCGCCCGGTGCGGGAGATCTTGCCAGTAACCTGTCCGTCCATTTCGATCGCAGCAACAATCGATCAAAGCAAAGCCGGGAGGTCTGGAAGGCTCAGAGACCGTGACAATGAAGAGCTCCTCCGCTTCGACGGGTTGGACCATCACGCTTGCGGAAAGGGACACTGCAGGGAAATACTCATGCCAGAAGCAGCTTCCCTGTGTGCAGAACTTGAGCCCTACGTTGACACATCCGCAAGCAATGACAACTTGCGATGGACGTGGTTTCTCAATGCAGGACAAGGGATAGTTTGGGACACCAAGCGCCAAAAGTGCACTTGTGCCTTTGAGAATCTGGACAAATCGATTGGCATTTTCTTCTCGCCCGTGCATGTCCATATCATTTCCCAGAGGGCGTGTCCTCTTCGTTTCACTTGCGTTCGCCTTCCTTTTTCGGGGGTTCAAGGAACTCTACGTTGTGTTTCAACACCCCGTCCTGGGTGTTTTGGGGTGCAAAAGAAGGGCGATTGCAAGCGAAAAACGTGAGATCTCTGGAGAACTTGAGCGAACAAGGATGAAGGCCCAACAAAGAGAGCGCATGAGAGTGAGGAAGATCTCCCACCACCAGAAACACAATCTTTGAGGGCAGTCTTGGCCCCTCAAAAACCATCAAAACCGATGGACCTGCATGGATGTACCAAGCCTCCAAGACTTGGCAAAGTACGTACTGCTCGAGAAGAGAAGAGACTAGTGGCCCGACTGGACCCAAACACTCTCCCAGGTGACGCGGGAAGCAACGTCCACTCGCCCAGGGCTGAGCGCAACGTCCGTGCGCCGCTCTGCTTTCCGCCGTCACCGTCGAACAGAAGGGGCACGGTCACTCCAACTTGCAGCTCTTGGAACCGGAAAAAAAACACATTCCACAGGTTTGGGCCTTGACCCAGTTCGGGAAAACCAGAGAAATCAGCTGAAACAACACAAAACAGGGTCACTGATCTCTACTCCACTTGCGTTCTCCAGCGGTGGCCGCTCTAGATCTGTCAACTCTGGTGCCGCTGAAGCTCCGGATCTCAACCAACACATCCGAAGTCTTCAAACAACTAGATAGACCTGTGCAAACAAGATCGAGAATTTCCACTTCTAGCCAAACCTAAGTTGAAGGTGTCCTGTGAGTACAAACATGCACTCCACATATTTCCACATGCATCACACCCCTTTGGACAGCGTCTTCAACACCCCTTTTTGTGGAGGAAAGACGTGTACGGCACTGTCAGTTTTCTGGGTCCCGGGTCGGCTGGCAAGTTCGTCCATCTCTCCACCAATGGGATTCCCATTCATTGGATTCCAATTGGCCAGCTCCCCCCGAATCGGACTCTTTTCTCAAATGGCCACTCCCAACCCTCCAATCCCCCCCCAACCCTAAAACCCCAAACCGTTGTCATTTTGGTTTGCCCGAGACGCTGCTGCGCCGGTCGGGGCGCGGCCGGGCCGTGGAGGTTCGTCACGCTCAGGCAGTTCCGGCAGCCCAGCTGGGTACCTCATCCGGCGCCGCTCGTCGCTCGTCGTCGGTCGCCGCCGAACGCGGCACGGGCGTCGGTCAGTGGCTGCCACGCGCTGCCCATGCCGCACGCGACGCGGCGCGGGCGGTCGGTGTTGGAGGGTTTTCGGTGGTTTTCCGGCGGACGGGAAGAGTCGCCTCGGCGAACAAACGATCGGTCAGCATGGATTGGGTCCAAGCAAAGAGTCTGGCAATTGGATTTGGGCTGAGAAAGCAGGATGTGGATGATTCGCTTGAACACATTCACCCAACATCACCCAGGAATGGACTCTTTGCTCAACGCTGACAGGTGGGCGAGAGTTTTTGAAATCCGCTCACATGGGGCTCTCTAAGCTCTGCTGCTATGCAAATAGCTTTGCTAGGCCTCTTTTTTCGCGCGTGCGCGGCTATGGTTGGGCTGCAGGGCCACTGGTGAGAGCGTTTTGGAGGCACATTTTTGGATGATTTTTCGTTACGTCGTGTTTGTGCTTTGGGCTGGTTGCTGCGTTGATTCTTGCTCGGCCTGCAGGGCCACTGGGGAGAGTGTTTTGAGGTGTATTTTTGGGTGGCTTTTGGCAACGCCGAAGTTGTATCACCATGATGGTAGACGAAGTTGGCCCCAAGATGGTTCCAACGCAGCTGTAAGACAGCCAACCTGGCGCCTTTTTTTCGCGCGTGCGTCGCTATGGTTGAGCTGCAAGGCCACTGGGGAGAGCATTTTGAGCTGCATTTTTGGATGGCTTTTGGCAATGCCGAAGTTGTATCACCATTGTGGGCTCCAAGGTAGACGAAGTTGGCCCCAAGATGGTTCCAACGCAGCCGTAAGACAGCCAACCTGGCGCCTATTTTTTCGCGCGTGCATGGCTATGGTTGAGCTGCAGGGCCCCTGGGGAGAGCGTCTTGAGGTGTATTTTTGGATGGCCTTTCGCAATGCCGAAATTGTATCACCATTATGGGCTCCAAGGTAGACGAAGTTGGTCCCAAGATGGCTCCAACGCAGCCGTAAGACAGCCAACCTGGCGCCCAAGTAGTTCGCAGAAGCTCACTTCAAATCCTGGTCCTGCTGGGGAGGGCCTCTGACAGATAGCTTCAACGCTGACGTTGTCTCACCCAAGCTGATCCCAATTAGCCTGAGTCTGCGAAACTTGGCCTGAGTCTGGGCTCAAAGTGCTGTTGCTTTAATTCTCTATTACCTTTAGATGGGCGCAGTTGATCCTAAGTTGGAGGCAACAGCCAAAATTTTATCTGTTCACCTTTTGGTGATACCAGACATCTTAGAATGAATTTGACAGGTGGTTTTGCGAGCAGCCCCTCCCCGCTGCAAGCCGCTGCAAGCGGTGATGCCCGCCCGCAAACTAAACTTCGGCGCCTCCCGTTGGTCCTTCTCTGACCTTTTTGGGGTTGCTCTGCTGT